TGTAATTCATCGTCGACGTCGTTTTTATTTTACAATGTACATACTCTGTCGTGTTGGGATGTTATAGCGCTCAGACTATGTCATTGCTTGCGAAATTGGCTCAATGATTTATTTTACTTTAAAATAATGGGCTTTGTCAGATAGAACTGGGTACAAAATGTATCAACAAGGTGCTTGTACAAATATCGTTTGGAAGGTGCATCACAGGCACTGCGTAATTCTTAATTAAATACATCCTGGACACGTTGAGCATACGTTTGCTTTGCCAAAAATGATTTTCATTTTGTATATATTGGCTATTCCAAACATAGTTAAAACCCAAACTACATAGTTCATGCTTAATTTGACAAACCCAATTAAATTTACAATTAGGCTTTCTGATATTCAATTTTACTAATGCGTCGTAGCATACCTTTAAAACACAGTTACTAGTATTTAAAAAAATTTAACCAGTAATTCATTATGGCTGTAAAGTGTGAAAAATCGCGTTTCTTGTGGAAGAAACTTTTTCCAAAATTGATCAACGACTCTATGTGATCCTCAGAATTTACACTCCATTACTTTCACTGTTAGAGTAAAAAATAAAAACACAATAAGACTGTTATCCTGATTTAATAGAAATAAGAACTGTATTAAGATGTTTGAGAACCATTAGCCGAATCAGCTATTGTTAATCGCTGTCTTTTGGAATCTGACGTAAAAGATTAATTAAGGTGTTTTACGGATGCATGATTTTTCGTCTTTGGAAGGATATGATACACTGTTCTCTTAAGAAAACTTCGTTGTTTTTGTAAACAGGAAATGCTTCGATCGCCAAGTTAAGGAAATGAAGGGAGCGACATGCGTAACCACGCAGACGAAGAAATAAAACCGTACGGTAAATATCCCTATCCTATGATTTCAACATTTCATCTCAAATCGCCGATGTTTCATACGTATGTCATCCGAAATGAAACGTTTAAAGCCGAATAACTGAGAGTTCAAGTCATCTGAAAAAGCGAAAGACAAAAATGAACAAAGCTAATACTGTGGTGAGTTTTATTGTAACCGACGTGATTCTGTCACTATGATTACAAATTCTCTCAGGTTGGTATATTTACTTCGTACTCGCCCTCATCGATTAATACCTTCTACACTGTAAACCAGGAAATCACTATTTCATTGCCGCAAATCACCAAATGAACATTCAGAGGACGAAATGATGGTGGAACATCTGGACACATAGACCAACACACCTGTTTAGAATTGATGGTATATAGAGCTATGTATGGTAAAGCTAGGAAATGACCGGACTAGATTGGATTCCAGAAATGTTTTGCGTACAATATCAATGTGTTATTGAAGTAAACAGAAAAATACATAACAGGAGTCATGCAAAACGGTGTTAATGCGTGGATGTGAAATGTAATGTGAAATATAATATGAAATGTTTATCCGTGTCATTCACACAGTAAACAGTATCGTAAGCAGATTAAATCGTGATACAGACGGTGGTTACCATATCTATTTTATGATTTGACGTCACACCCGGATGTACCGCCTACATTGGGTATCCCCGTTACGTCATTTACAATGTAAATTGATTCACTATTACATAAAACAAGTGAATTAAATGGAATTCATTAATCTGAGCTGGTTTAAGATTTTCTTTGAACATGGACCGTTCAGTTATATAAATTCTTCCTTTATCGGAATTTCATATTATCCATTGAAAATATGTATACACATAGTTTTGAGCTGATTCAGTGAAAACACGAGACATAAGATATGTTATACATTTATAGCCAATCAACTATTGAGTGGATATTGAACATAACAGAAGTGATAAACATGTAATCTAATATACAAGTGTATATTCTACATGTGGAACGGAAGTCAATACATCAAGACCAATATATACGATTTTAAAAACAAGACAAGGTAAGTACATTTTTAATTAGAAATATTTTGGAGGTTACAACAACATATATAGATTTGCCAAGGAACAACTGGAACCAAGGTTTAAATGATTATCTACCTTTATACCTATAACATATCCAAGTTGATGCCATTAATTTTACCCGTCATTTCACGTGTGATGTAGCTAGTCCAAAAGGCTGTGGATGTTCATTCGTGATTTTATATTTTCTTGTCGTAGTAGATAAACAAATATAAAGAAATAGTGTATGTGTTAGAGTTGTCATCCGGAAAACGAATGGTCACAGAAAAATACGGAGGCAAAAACTATGCGTAAATTTATTCAAGCAACAAACAAATAAGTTCGTAAAATCTCAAAAAGAAGGACGACACAACCAATACGTCATATCATATCAGTATGAAAAATCACTCCCTTCTCCTCGTTCAGTTTCAAACTTGATTATATCAAACTTAAGTTTGAGATTGGCTTTGATAAAGAAAGACACAAAAAGAGATGTCTAAAATTCTGTTTAAACCTTTCAACGAACACAGCATAATGTAACTAATATTTGATTATTATCTTCTTTTTTCTTATTTTTTTTCTCAAAATTTATAATCATCAAGTGTCCGTTGACTTTTACAAAGTTTACTTCAATTTCCAGATTTCTAGAAGTAAAATAGCAACTGATAATGGTACCAGTGATCTTACTTACTCATCAGAGCACAGTTGGTTACCTATTCAGGATTTTAACGAATATTCTTGTCAATTGCATACATAAAAAAAAATCATCAGCATTTAAAATTATCGTACTTTCACTTTCTCTCTCCTCGCCTACTCACTTCCTTTCTACTTGCGCGTGCGCAAAATGACTTCCGCCTACACATCGTGTTGTGATCAGCATAATGAATTATCACAGAAGATTATGTTCTTTGTGTTTTAAAGAAGTATTTATTTTATAGAAGGATTTGGCGACCGATAGTGTAACCTACAAACACTCGATATGCCGCAGGTAATGATTGTGAAATTACCTCTGTCACTGTTTGTCCGATATTTACCTTTGTTGATCAAACGTCACTGCTCCTACATCGTCTCGCACGGCAGCAGATTTTCGGTCCAGAACCTTGTAGGCCTTAATTTGCTAGCAACTGTCATGCCGTCTGTTGTCACGAATTTATTTTTTCTGTCATGTATTGTTGTAAAATACGCTTGAAGTAATGACTTGAAAATATGATTCACTCGTTGTATGTTCATTTTGTAACTAATATTTATATTGTGCCACTTCTCTTTCCAGAAAGTACGGAGGCAAGTCGATTCGTACTGTTACTGTGTAGTGTACCGGCCTCATGTTGGAGTAGCAACACATTTGCTATCTTATAAAACAATCAGACTCTCTTTTTTACGTTCTTTACAATACTCTTGCTCTTGCTTGTCAAATGTCTACCAGTGTTTATCCTTGTCATCTTACTCCATTCAGTAACTTTTACTAGTCAGTATTTATAGTTATGTACATACCTAGTCATTCTTCAGCATACCCATCATTGTAAACCACATACCTGCTTGGTTTTATAAGCTGAGGCTTATGAGATTCCTCATATACAGATTTGTGAAATTTCCTTTTTCGAAAAAAATATCAATCACTGACAAGTTTATTACTTTTACTGCGTACAGAATTGCCATGAATCATCATCAGTTTGTAAGATTTATTCTGTCATTTTATAATTGCCATCAAGTATGTAAGAACGGACCCAAAGGGAGGGGTGTTGTATTTACATGCAACATGGTCCTTTATTTATTAAAATTCATAATTTGAAATAGCTACTGTAAAAATCACCTTTCTAATCAGTCTCATAACTGAACATGGATAAAAAAACGTCAACATATATCTACTATGAAATTTTTTGTCAAAATCCCAAGGTTCATATTCTCTTTAGTAACGTTTTTTTCATTGTAACCAAAACTGGACCATCAAATGGCCACTATGAAATTTGTGAAAATGATACCTTCGTTTCTTCACAAGAAGTAAGAACTTTTCAGTCAAAATCCAAGATCACAATTTTTATTTTGTCATTGGTAAAGTCCTAAAACTGAACTTGCACACAGCACTACAGATGGGGAAAATCTATCCCAAGAAATGGCAATATGAGTTTTTGAAGGATACCAGGTGGACGACAGTTCTCCTAGCACATTGCTTCATTTACGCAACTACACTGCTACATGCACATCATTTCCATAATGCAAATTTTGTGCCAAATCTTCTTAATTCCTTTTCAGCATTGGGGGCTTTGCCCCTGGACCCTCAACAGGGAATGGAACCTGTACCCCTCGATTGACTATGCACTTGGTCTCAGACAAGGGTCAATTATATCTGTACCTTAACACCATACATTAGATTTCATTTCTTAATATATAGAAATATGGAACAAATGAATCTGTGGGAAGGGTAGAATCAGAGTTGGACATAATAAATAAGAAGGGGTGGGGGATTTTCAGTTTGAAAAATGTGCACCCCCTTCTAATCCAAAATTCTGGATCTGTGCCTGTGATGGACTAATGTTTGACTTCTGGTAACACAGAAAAAAACTCTTAATTGCAATGAAAAAATATACTTGAGTTGTTGGTTAAATCTTTAGTGAATTGACACTATTTTTACTATTGTAGTGATGTATTATCCTGCTATGAAAAGATGCTGTAATATTGGAGATAAACAGAAAAAAATTATCACATATATGGCCAAAGTTTCCTTCTTTTTAAAACCTGGCTCAGATCTATTGGTAGTGTTAAAGTACAGTCCATCTACTCCAGTTAAGAATCTGCTAAATACTTTAATATGCTTACAATTCTTAGAAATTATTTTAAGTTTGCTGTATGAAATACACTGAAACAATGTTTGAGAGGTAAAAAGACTACAATAAAAAGCAGCAAAGGTAGAAACTTTTTACAAAAGCAACTGGAAAGGCTAAATTAAACATGTGTAGCACCCACATCTGCCCAAAATAAAATTTTAATTAAAAGAAAATCTATTTGATCTCTTTATGTAAGGATACATTTAGATATGAAGGTAACAGATTATGAAGTCTGAAACTGTTGTTTGTCATTTCAGCCGATGTTTGTGCAAGTGAAGATCGAGCTAGGTCACAGGGCCTCTGTGCGCACAAATCCAACAGAGAATGGTTTCACTCATGACTGGACTGTATTTGTACGAGGACCCGATGGTTGTGATATCGCTCACTTTATTGAGAGAGTGGTATTCAATCTTCACTCAAGCTTCACAAACTCCAAACGAAGTATGTTTCATAATTACAAATTTTACAATAACTGTTTTCTTGTATTTGAACTGTGAGCAGATGGAAACTTAAAGAGATGATGTACGAAAATGTGCAATGTATGAAAATCTTATCCACGCAATTAACGGTAGCTTAATTTAGCTTCCTTTCCTGTCCTTTTTACTTCATTTTAAGCGTATAGCTCAGACTGTACCCAAGATTCATCAATTAGGGTGTAGTACAATTGAAAATAAAAAAAGAGGAATAACAGGACCATGTTTCAAAAGTACAGATTGGTATTTTATGTTGTTGTTAAGATTATTGCAGGATGATATTTGGAATTTTATTGTAAAAGTCTGCATTTCATCATTTACAGTGAAAACATCTCCTCCTTACTTTGTGTCAGAGTCTGGATATGCTGGATTTAACTTGCCGATAGATATTTATTTTAAAAACAAAGAAGAGCCACGTAAAATTCGTTACCAGTATGATTTATTTCTGAGAATGGCAGACAACCCTCCTGTAAACCATACTAGGTGTGAAAAACTCACATTCCAAAATCCTACTGAGGAATTCAAAAAGAAATTGCTGGAAGCTGGAGGGGTTTGTATTTTTTTGTTAAATTTTTCTCTTTGCATATTTCTTAATGTGATATGATGGAAATAGGAAAACAAAAACTTCCATCAGATATAGAAATGATGTGAGTATTTCAATTGTAAAACAAAATGAGGAATATTGATTTCAGATATAATGCTGCTCATGTAACAAGAGAAGAGAAATCAAGGCATCAGTCTGTCTTTAAATTGATGGATTTTCTTATGGTACTGGTAGTAATTTGGCTTTATCATTCAACCACATTGGATGAAACTTTGTATCCATGATCTGTAACTAAGATGTGTCTTTGGGTAGATATACTAATTTGTTGATATTCTTTCATGAGATTATCGGTAACACATCATTAAAAGTCAGCTAGTTCTTTTGTAATTTGCTGCATATGATAAACTCTTAAAGTGTGAGTTGTATATTTGCAAGTGCTGTTTTATTATCCGAATGCTTTTTTCTGAGGAGTTATGTCCCTTCAATGATTTTTTAACATTATGTATAAATTTTCATTAAGGGGTACATTGTATTGACTTTTGCATGCAATTCAAGATTTTTGAATAAATGTGCCTTCTGTATTTCAAACATGAACATAGGCATGATTCCATTCAGACAGGTTTGGATAAGTAAGAACTTTGTGGTAAGATCTCTGCTGAAAATTTCTGTTTAGAGTTTCAAGTGCGTTGACAATTATATCAAAGGAATTGCTGGAATTGTTTGTAAGTTTCTTGGTATAGATATAAGTTTCATATTATAATTGAGTTATCAGTCAGTAAATAAGTTTTCATTATCTTGTAACAGATTGTTGTCTACCCAAATGGAGAGAAAGAAAATGGCCAGTTTACGGACCTGTTTGGCCCACCTATCCACACGGACACTGTTAAGAAATCTAAGCACTCATCCAAGGTACATGTAGGTTCTGGTAAATCATTGAAGTAATCAAGTATTATGAATTTATTTAAAGTAGTTTTTCTTTATTGACTATATTCTATGTTTAACTTTTAAATGTTCTTACTGATGAAGCTATAGCACCATTTTCTGCAGAATGAAGGTCAATGTCCAAGCTTTAAAATCTGAGAAAATATAGCAGGAGCCCAAACTCATATGAATGTTGTATTGTTTTTGTTACATTCATACAAACTACTTAATATTGATCTTCCTATGAGTATGAATATTGGGGACTTGTTAGCACTAGTTTCTACACCCAGTGAATGATAAACTGGAGTTTGAATTATTTATGCTGCAAATTAAGTGATAACCTATGTATGCTATCAGTAAATCACTGGACCAGCGAATGGAAATTATTACATGTGATTTTATGAAATACGTACATTGTATGAAAATGAATTTGTCTGTAATACATGCTCTTTGAACAAATATGACAGTGGATTTAGATTTTTATATGATCTTGTATTGATACATCATTTAAAAGGTCATTTTCTCTTCACAGTCAAAAGGCAGTTCCACTCTTTCTGGGAAGTCCATACCTGGGTCTAGTTCCAAGGACTCTTCAAATCAAAACAGCTCTTCTTCATCATCGTCAGGTACCTCCAGTCAAACAGTCACTTCCAACACCACTTCTAGCACTACCATCTCAAGTGAAAGTTCTTCTAAATCTCATAAAAGTTCTTCTAAGGACAAACATTCCTCGTCTTCCCAGAAAAGGTCAGCTGATACCTCTCATGAAGAGGGTGGCAAGAAGATAAAAAAAAGTTCTTCAGGGTCCTCCCCATCTGATGTCAAGGATAAACATGGGGAAAAGTCATCAGATAAAAACAAACATTCTTCTTCTTCAAAGCATAAGGAATCCTCTTCAAAGGATAAAGAATCCTCATCGAAGGATAAAGAGTCTTCTTCAAAAGAATCCAAGGAGAAAAATAATTCATCTAAAGACAGTTCATCATCATCAAAACATAGAAATAAATCTTCATCTTCTAAATCTCACAAATCTGATAAAGATAAAAGTAAATCCTCGAAAAGTAGCAGACATGAAAGCAAGCGTGAATCAGGAAAAGAAGACACCAAATCTAAAGTGAAAAGTGAAACTGTTTCATCTAGTGCTAAGGTGAAAACTGAAGTAGATGTGAAATCTGAGATCAAAAGTGAAACTCATACATCGAGTAAAATAAAGACAGAAATTATGGAGGAGAAAATGAAATCTGAACCTATTGTTAGTGAAAAGAACAGCTCTCCTAGCAACAAAAATTCTTTTTCAAAAGAAATGTACACCAAAGAGAAAGTACCATCTCATGGAAAGAAGAAAAAAGAAAAATCTCAAAGGTCAGGGTCATCACAGCCACCAATCAAACGAAAGCGGATTATTTCTGATGATAGTAGTTGTGAGGACAGCAGTAGTGACAGTTCGTCTTCATCAGAGGACAGTATAGAACAGGATGTAGAGGAGCCAGAACTTCGTGACTTACATCAGTCAAGATTGACCCACAGTGATAGTGACGACAGTCTAAATGATGAAAATGATGATGGTGAAGAGAGTACAACCAGACCAAGTTCAGTGGCCTCAAACTCTTCTATGGCCTCCACTAACCCCTCTCCACAACCCACAATCCAACAGCAAACAAAGCGTGCTCTTCATAGACTCATGCAAGATTTGAGTGACCAAGATGATGATGACGATGATGATGAAGATGATGATAATTTGATTCCTCAAGCTTTTCGTTCCCCCATTAAAACTTTTTCACCTTCCTCTGTGAAGAGTTCTCGAGCTTCACCAGGATCTGTTAAGAGTGCTAAAAGTTCTTCATCTCCTGCTGTGAAATCATTGAGAATGGATTCTCCTTCATCTCAGAAAACAATGAAAGAAAGTTCACCATCTAATTCAAAAAGTATTTTATCCCCTCATTCCCAGAAGAGTTCCAAATCTAGTCATCATTCCACCAATGAGTCTAAAGATCATTCCTCCACATCAACACCTTCAACTCAGTCTTCTCAAAGGAAATCATCTAAATCATCTTCATCATCTTCTAAAAACAAAAGTGAAAGTAAATCTGACAGCAGCAAAAAAGACAGAGGAAACTCTAGTGCTTCTGTTAGAGACAAATGTGACACTAGTGTGAAAACAGAAAATTCAGTCAAGGAGAAAAAGTCGAAAGATAAGGAACGTAAGTCTTGTAAAGAGTCAGCTAAGCAGAGAAAAGCATGTAAGGAAAATATTGCAGAAAATCAAGAGAATTCATACCGGGAAGAAAGATCTAACACTAATAACAATTATACCACTGAAACACATGAGTCAGAGCGAGACATGAATGGAAATGGCCATATCAATATTGGAGACATCTTGGAGCAGCATAACCTTGGAAATGCACCAAACGGGCAAGATCTTGTCTCATTATTGGATCTCCATAAAAAACTAGAAACAATGAAAGATCGTGGCGTTCTTCAACAAATTGTGACCATAATATTAGATACAGGCAAGTATGAAATTGGAGAAGCATCGTTAGATTTTGATCTTTGTGCTTTGGATGGCAAAACTGTAGAAAGACTTCGGAACTTCATCGGTGGTGCAGCATCCTAGTTGGTGTAGAGAACAAGGTGACAAAATTAAGAAATCTGTTGCACAACCAAATGAAAGAATGGGTCGAAAATAACTGAGTTGTGTTTCATTTCACCTCCTTATATGGTGATAAAAGTGAACTTGAAAGTGATGGTTGTCATGGATTTTGATAATTTTGTTTTAATCTGCATTTAAATTAAGGGCAAGAACAAGGATGGAAAATTGAAATCATATCGTAAGGACCAGTAATTTATCATGGCCTGAAGTGTTTGTTGATAATATATACATTATGTATAGTGTAGACTTTCTACATTTGAATTTATTTCACTATAATTAAACACCATGTGATTTATAAATCCTACTTTATGATAAGGAAATAACTGTTTCTCCAACTGGAAGTCAATACCTGATGTACTACATATTTATAGATAAATACTGTGAATCATTGAAGGTATCTTAGGATTCTGGATATGGTTAACAAAGCTGTGATGAATCAGCTGTAGTGAGTTGATCATTTATAAACTATTCAATATGACTTTGTAAATCCTGATAAATTGTCACACACTAAATACCATCTTTATAGATGTGTCTTCATAACCAAATTTATTGTGGGAGTTTACAGTCACGCCATGTGAGGTTGCTGCATTTTAAAGAAGTTTCTCTTCTTTGGGTGATATATACATTACCTATAATGTAGATGTTTTTAAGACAAGGTATGATTTATAAAACAGAAGTGTTTTACCTCATCCTTATGCTGTCATGATAAGTAAGATTAAGTGAAGGTTACACAATTAAAGTTGGACAAACTCATGGAATTAAAACAGTACAATAGCTGGTAGATCTTCCCCAACCCACAATAGAACATCAATTTCCATTTATTGGCAAATATCAATAGTAGTCATTATTGAAAGGGGGAAGATAGCTGATGTATATCTCCTTCCTCAGTGTACACTATATTTATAGTTTGGACAAGATATTGCCTAACAATAAATTGTAAGGATGACATCAGAAGAAACTTGTATAAATAGATGTTTGGTATTGATGTTTTTTTTATCACTTTTGTATCATTTTAAACATTAATAAAGATATTTAACATGACTGATCTATTCAACAGATAAAATACACTTGAATTTTTGAAAATTTCTAAACTATTAACAATATATATGAAGTGCTAACTTAAGTGGAATGCGTACGACATACGCTGTAGTACATAGTACTATTAAAAAAAATAATACAAGTATGATAATTAAAGTGCATGATATCATTTACTTTCTTGTTATGACTGATGGTTATTATAAAAATGTGTTGTTACTATGATATCTGATACATAGTACACTTGTACTTGAGAATACAGTTAATTACAATTCCTTACACTTTGGTTCATATGAACCGGACAAAAACTTAAAAGAACAAGTTCCAACTTAGATTTTGCAATCATTAACTATAATAAGTTGTCGGGTAAATCAAATAAAAATAATAAGATTCTTTTAATAATTTCTAGATACTAAATCAGGCACAAATACTTCTGTTTGTTTTTGTTTTACTGAAATATCTTTACAAAATATCCTGAATGAATTGGATTGACATTGTACTTCTGAATCAAACTATCAAGGATTTATCTTGTTCTGTAGTATGTAATATTTATTGAGGTATCATTGGTGAAATGCCTGTGAATTACATCAGTATTTGTTGTTCAGCATAGTGTTGTGACTTGCATGATGTACGATTTTGAATACTTTTATTTGTGTTTGTGGCTAGTGTTGATGAATTTATGTTTGTGTGGGTATTTTATAATATTTGTATTAACATACATATGTACTAGCTGTCAAGTTTTGGTGTAGAAGTGAATTGTAGGCCTGGATAAGACTTACCTGTGCTGTTGACCTTTGGTAACGAATGACCTGTCACAATAACTTTATTATTCGATAATGTGTCCTGTTGACCTGCAGTAAAGAACGACCAGTTATAATGACATTTTTAGTCTTATGGTTACCTACCTATTGCAATCCCCTTTCGTCTGCTGTTATGTGTTAGGAAATTTTGCAAAAAAAATGTTCAAGGCCAAATGTGAATCTGAATTGTAAATTATATGGTCCCCAAGATGTCACATTATCGGAAAGGAAGGCTTAAAGATTACTATAGTTTGCTTTTGGAAATTACATTTTTAAGCATAATTTGTTATTTTCTATTGGAAATAGTTTGAAATTGGTTTGAATTATTAGTTTAAGCTGACAGATTGATGATATGCACATATTGACTCTGGCTGACCCCCAGGAGTTTATTGGTGGGGCCAAAAAAGGATGAAATGTAATTAATACCCAGATATGATAGAATCTTTCAAATTCTGTTCATGGATAGAAAAGTTTATATTAGAAAATTACATTTCTGAGTGTAATTTCTTTGAATTCAAACATGGTTGGAAGTCCTTAACATGGGATGGCAGTTAATATTTGGCACAATTTGCATTTTATTTGCATAAGTTACAAGAAGAATGATAGCATTTTAACTCAGGTGATCAGGTGACTGTTTAAGTCTTGGGCCTCTTGTTCTCTTGACATTTGATCAAAGAATTACCAGTTTCTTGACCTTATGGTAGGATAAAGTGTCCTGTTGACACTGGCTGAAGAATGACCTGGCCTATAGACCTTTGATAAAGAATTACCAGTTTCTTGACCTTATGGTAGGATAAAGTGTTATGTTGACACTGGCTGAAGAATGACCTGGCCTATAGACCTTTGATAAAGAATTACCAGTTTCTTGACCTTATGGTAGGATAAAGTGTTATGTTGACACTAGTTAAAGAAAGACCTTGCCTATTGACCTTTGGTAAAGAATGACCTGTCTCTTGAGAATGACAAGTTCTGTAAACATTTGTTAAGAAAGACCTGTCCTGTTGAATGACCTGTCACAGTGATGTTATGGTAGTGTCATGTTGACCTTTGATAAAGGATGACCTGGCCTGTTTAACTTTGGTTAAGAAATGATCTCACCTGTAGATCTTTGGTAAATATTGACCTGTCACCATGACCTTATTTTAGGATAAAGTGTCCTGCTGACCTTTGATGAAGAATGACTTGGCCTGTTAACCTTTGGCAAAGAAATGATCTCACCTGTTGACCTTTAGTAAAAATTTGCCTTATGTGTTGCCCTTTGGTAAAGATTGACCAGTCACCATGACCGTATTTTAGGATAAAGTGTCCTGCTGACCTTTGATGAAGAATGACCTGGCCTATTGACCTTTGGTAAAGAATGACCTCACCTGTTGACCTTTTGTAAAGATTGGTCTGGCACGTTGACCTTTGGTAAATTGTTGACCTTTAATAAAGATTGACCTGTAACAGTGACCATATTTTAGGATAAAGAGTACTGTTGCTGTTGACCTTTCGTAAAGATGTAAAGATTGACCTGTAACAGTGACCATATTTTAGGATAAAGAGTACTGTTGCTGTTGACCTTTCGTAAAGATGGACCTGTCACAGTGACCTTATTTTAGGACAAAGTGTCCTGTTGTTGTTGACCTTTGGTAAAGAATGACATGTCATAATGACCTTATTTCATTCACTTGCTTTCCTCTTGAACATGCAAAGTTTTGGTTGAGCATTACAACTTTAAATGTTCTTGATGTAGTGGAGATAAAGGCACACATTTTTTTGTTATAAGTTACAGCAATATCAAAGTGTAAAGGTCATACACAGCTTGTTTTCATTTTTATTATACTCATCATACCTGGTAGTTACAATATACTTTTTTTTGAAGTAGGCAAAATGGGGACTTTTTCTCTACAACATCATGATCCAAGGAATCAGCTTTTTAGTGCACCATCCTGCCGCTTGACTAGTAGCCTTTAAGGATAGAAAAGCTGATGTGTGTGATGTTATATAGTGATGATAAGTATTCCCAGACATCTCAATAGGTAAAATTAAAAACAACCCTGTTAAGAAACCTTTTTATGAAAAGGGAGGAACAGAATGGCCTGTGCTGTTATGGTTGTGTCCTTGGGCAAGGCACTAAACCCTAATAGCTCTGAATGGCACAGGCATCCTGAATATTGTTCACCAAGGTAGTCATCAGCAACAAGGCCCTGTCTTAAAATGACTCTGGCTATGTATGGGACGATAAACTTAACCAACAATTTGGAGAAGTATTCCATACATAGATTATAACTTCATATATATAGAAAAGTCCACAGGAGAAACCTTCAATGTGATCACAACTCCAACAACAAAATACTTTAATCTTAAAATAGAATTTCCATAAAAAGTGTTCATACTATTTTTGTGTGTTTCCTTATAAGTGATACAGTAGTATTACCTTGCAAAGATTTAAGTGCTAATTTATGTGGAGCGATATCAATGTATTTTTTTGTACTAAATGTATTATATCACAATGCTATGTTGGCTTGGGTTGCAAATTGTGCTAATTATATAGATATTTTGTGTAGTTTGAGCTACTTTATACTGACCTCCACCCTATACTTCTCTGGATCTCCTTTTTATTACTGCAAATTTTGATGGCTATACTACATCTTTTACAATATAGATGGAGTTTTTAAATCACTATTTAAATAACTGTCAAATTTAACTTATTTATGATATTTAATTTATTTGAATGTTAGATTGTTGGAGATTTATGATGGAAACATGTGTTATTTCATTCATCAAAATGTTTATAAGTTAAATCTGGGTAATTATAAAAATATGTGAAACTTTGTATTTAATTTTATAAACTTAATAATATTACTGGTATGAGAAAAAATAGCATGTATAAAGTATTTTACGACTGGATCTTGATGAAGCAAAGGGCCTTTTGTTTATAGTAATTGTAGCTCAGCGGTACTCTTTGTATGGAAATCAGAGATATATGGCATTTAGCTGCCTGGTCCTACTTGTCTGGGTCTTGGTCCTTCCTATCATAGAACCTACCTGTCTAGGTCATGTCTATCTGGGTCATACCTATCATGGAACCTACTTGTCTGGGTCTTACCTTACTGATTCTTGCCTATCTGGGTCCTGCCTATCTTG